CCCCAAAACCCCAAAACCCCAAAACCCCAAAAATATTTCTAAGAATATAACAGTGAATAAAATATAAAAATGAAGCCAGCACAAAAGCAAGAAGGGAGGACCAAGCATAAAGTTCCGACCAAAAAAAGGATGGCTGCTAAGTCTGGTTCCAAGTAAGAGTAGTTCTTAGTTTCATCCCTTTATGAACGAAGTTATGTATTCTATAGGAAAAAGAAGAAAAATCTCCATGGAGAATCAGTATTCCACAGAGGCAGAGCTGACTGGTGGGGAATGATGGTAAACTCTTACTCATTTAGTTGACGCCAAGCTTTCTAAGGGTTCATGTGTTCTAAACCCATATTTGAGACTAGTTTAACTCTATCAGAGGGTTTATAATGAACATCTCCTCGAAGTTAACTTTTAGTAATCCTTTAATACAGTCCAATGCATATCGGTCACAATACAAGTTATCTAAAATGATACTGAACAAAAAGAAGGAGATTCGGTTAAAAAGACTCAAAAATCTGATAAAATAACAGAGATACTTTCAAAGACGAGCCTGATCAGAAGGGAGATGAGCCAGGCGAGGCTCTAAATTTGAAGCCAGAGAAGACCCCTTCTGAAAAGAGTAAGCTAAGCTTGTTTTATTTATAGATTACATCAACATGAAGCACCTTAAGAGTATCCAATCTGGCTAAGATTTAGACCTGAGATTCTTAAGAACCAAACAAAATGTTGTTATCAAGAAAATGATCAGTATTCTTCAGAGTTAATATAAAGGCAGTATGGAATTCAAAAAGGGACTCTTCTCAAAGATCCAGAATAAGGATGAAGACCTGCAGAACTATATCATCGAGGTATGTAGTAACTCATGTTGAATTAGATGGGAAAGAAACATATTACAAAATTCATGGAAGATGAGAAGAAGAAAGATGAAGACAATCCTTTGAGCCAGGATCTTGAAAATATTGATGATGAGTCTGTTAGTGACCATAACACCAGTCCTGGTAAAACCTTGAAGAGACAAGATACCCATATTTCATTGATAGGCATCTCTAAACTGTTTAACAAATCAATGAACTTAAAAGACTACTTGAACCTAAACCTCGATTTCATGAAGGGTAATTTTCCAAAATATAGTGCTTTAGACTTCAAGCTATTAAATAATCAAAAATTTCCTGAAACACAGAAAAACAGCATGACAAGTATTGATCGTAACTCTAATGTCTAACTCCTAGCTTCTGGAATGGCAACTGCAAAAGTTCCAAAAGGGAGTCTCAAAGAAACAGAACGATTGAAATAAATATTTTTCAAGTAACAACTATTTATGTGGAATTATTTCATGAATTCTAGACTCAAAATCCAAAGAGAGTTATGTTAGGAGAAAGAAGAAGCAAGCTATAGATTACTACATGAAAGTCTCTTCCATCGCAGACCCTAAGTTACAAACACAGGTGGCAAATTCAAGCCACTTTAAGAAGATTTATACAGGAAGGTCACGGGATATCCCAGAGTGGTCTCTCAAGTAAGGGCTTGTGTCATTCGTTTAGGCATTTTAAGGATATTGACGCAATTGTACTCCGTTTCAATTATTTATAGGACCAACCTTTTGCAGCCAGGAAAAGATCAATGGTATGATAATTTGTGATGTTTCTAGCCAGTTTTGGACAAAAAGTCAACACTTAAGAAGAAATTGCGTTTCTCCATGGGGTACGTCAGTTGTATTGATGGATAGAAATGCTCGATTCTCAGAGAGCCAGACTTCCCGTGTGAAGTACAATCCTTTACTTGAAAAACTTGGCATAATAAGCCTTCAGTCCAATCCTGGGTTGTTAAATTCTATTGATAAGCGAATGGAGACTTGGGACGATAGGTATAAACTCCTCTAAACATTTTAGGATTAATTTAAATCAAAAGAACTCTCCTAGAGACCAGGCAAACAGGTTGCTACAATTTGAGCCCCTTAATCTCAAATATCCAAGCCATGGAATGCAAAATTGGGATGTTTCAGTAAGCTTAAAAGGATCTAACAGCAAAAAAAACTCAGTCGAGCGTAACTTGATCATAAATTAATGCTTTCAAAATAAGTATAAAATAAAGGGGTTTTGGGGTTTTGGGGTTTTGGGGTTTTGGGG